TTCTGAAATTTCCACTTTCATTTCCTTGATTATAGTGAGCACTGCTATTTTTCAGTATGTGTATAACTCCAATCTGGAGCTCATCCAGGTCTACTTCAACTGTGATGTTTCTGCTGGCTATTTATTTTAAATGACCAGCCAGTTATTATATGTGCAAAATTGTTTGTAGAAATAATTTGAGGCCTAGAATGATGTAATATTCCTAGAATGATGTTACATGTGCTTTTGGCAGGCAGCTAAGGGCACCATTAATTCCAGAACATCTTAATCAAACTTTAGAGTGTGTCTTCTTTTGGCTCCCCCTCACCCCTATGCCTTTGGGTCCTAACCCAAAAGGAGGGGTTCACTACATCCACCCCCTGTTTAGAACTGCAATTCCTGTCTTCCTAGCCCCACAAGGCTATCGGATACAAGGCTCAGCCTCTCAGGTGCCCATATGGAAGGACTGAAAACAGACTCAAATGTCAAAGTCCCCACTCAGGGCTTCTGTTCTCACACAGATCCTGGCCTGGTAGGTCTTTACTATCTTCTTAGCTATACAATGCTTTCAACCAGAGAAGTTTTTTTAATTTGTCCATCTTTTCCAGATGCCTTCAGAAAGGTTGGTCCTGATAATCAAAAGAGGAAGTGTCCATATCTAGTTTTCACTCAGCTTTTAGACATACTTTCAGGACCCTAAACGACCCAAAGGGGTTACCTCTACATATACGTAGAAACTGCGCTCACCTGTGTAGATAAGACTGCCCATGGGAAGAGTTAACTGAGAACAACACAGACCCCAAAGCAGAGTCCTGAAAAAGGTAACTTCCATTTCAAAGTGTAACTCAAGAGGAAAACAGAATTTACTTTCAACCAACTTTATAACTTCAGACTGTTACGGCCTGAACTATGTCCCCCTCAAAATTCATAACCCCAGTGTGAACGTACTGGAAGATAAAGCCTTTAAAGAGATAATTAGGTCAAACAAAGTCATTAGGGGAGGCCATAATCCAATGGGACTGGTGTCCTTAAAAGAAGAGGAAGAGACAACAAGAATATACACACACAGAAAAAAGACCATGTGAGGACACAGCAAAGAAGGCAGCTATCTGCAAGCCAAGGAAAAAGGCCTGACTACAAACCAACGCTGCCAGCACCTTGATCTTGGACTTCCAGCATCCAAAACTGTGAGAAAATAAATTTCTGTTACTTAAGCCACCAAGTCTGTGATGTTCTGTTACGGCAGCCCTAGCAGACCAATACGCAGACAGTGCACATCACCTGTACAACGTAGGAAAGGGGACTGGGACATCAGTCATACTAGAAACAGTACCACAAATCCAGTGTCACCTAAATCGAAGAGCAGGACCTGCCAAGTGGGCTTACACAGGGAATCCCAGTAAAATAGTGGTGAAAGAGTAGACAGCATGCTGAAGAAGGAGTCTAGCAAAGCAGGCACCTTGGAGAACAAGTCAGCTCAAACTGTCTTCCCTAATTCTTCAGCCAGTCATGGCAGCAGGTTATGCAAGGGAACAAGGCACACCCTTCAGGCAGGAACTGAAGCTCACCAGAGCCCCTTCGGTCTTGAGAAACTTCTCACCAGACTAGAAATTCTTCTACAGGTTTCTCCGATACCCCCTACCACCACTATCATGACATGTGAAATCAGGATCCTGCCATGCCAAGATCTTGTCAAATACACTGGGCTCACCAGTAGTGGCCCTGTTAAACACAGCTCCTTAAAACCTTCAGCAAGTGCCTCAGTCTCTCTGGAGGGTGGAAGCAGAAAGGAGCATGGTGAGAGAGCACATACAGTCACACGCATGCACTTCCTTCCATCTCAAACCCAGACCAGCACATCCTGCTAGCCCACTGCTTACCCTCCTATGTAAGCAAAGTAACCAGGAGACTCAGACACGGGAAGCAGCCTCTCTGGCTCTCCTCAGACACTAGGCCAGAAGCAGCGAGCACTCTCCCTGTCCCTTCACGAAGTGGGCTATTCCTACATTCTGTAATCTAGCATTTCTAGAGGGGAAGAAGTGCTCAGAGATTGCTGCAGAGGGCCACCTGCCCTCTCAACTGGGTTCTGCCCCCACTGCCGTCACCTGGGTAGCCTCAAAAGAAACAAACAAACCACAGTATAGTCATTTTCCAGTATCTATTAAAATTTAAAACATACATGTCATATGACCCAGAAATTCCTCTTCTTGTCACCTATCCTTGAGAAACAATCTGTATAAACTATATACAATCAGGAAGCCCATCAATAGGAGACTAGATAAAATGGAGTCTATACTCAAACTTTGAAATTTCACACAGCTATTGAAAAGATCGAGGTAGATCCATATATAGATTGCCAAAACATATCTCTGAATTTAAAAAGCCATGCCATGCAACAGCACAGATGCAAGTCACAAACATGGTGAGAAAAGATGGACACAAAACAGTTCATTCTATAAGATTCCATTCACTTAAAGCACAAAAACAGGCAAAACTGACACATGCTGTTAGAAGTCTGGATAGTGGTTACCCTTAGGGGTTTAGGGGGTAGAGACTGGAATGGAGCAAGAGACTGCAGGGGGTGGGAGGGGAGTGGCTAGTAAATTTCTGATTGTTGATCTGGATGCTGATTACATGAGCATATTCAATTCATGAAAATTCATCAAGCTGTCACTTATGGTAATCACACTGTTCTATAGATATTTTATTTTATACGTCACTTAAATGTTGAAAAGAGCAATACAATTTTAGGTAAAAAAAAAAAAAAAACCCTCTCTATTTCTCTAAATATTTCTATAGATGGTAAAATATCTAGAAGGATATCTACCAACCTGAGAAGGCTCACTTCTGGAAGAGGACTCAGAATGGGGCCAGGAGTGATAAAGGAGACCCCGGTTTTATCTGTAACATCTAAATTTCTGCAATTGAATTTATATATATTATTTGTAAAGCTAAAAATTAATAAAATTTAAAACGAGAAGAGCAGTGATGGCCAAAGTGAACTCTACTGCCCCAAGTACACCCCAGGTGGCTAACCAGGAGACCTGTGGGTGAGGGGAGTTTTGAGACCGGTTTTTCAGGGTAGGGTAGACAAGACTGCATTGCCATGGCTCTCTTTTCCCTGAGTGGCCCTGCAGGACACACTCTCACATGGGGGGTTCACAGGAGGGGCCAGCCAGGTGGGAAAGGAAACCAGAATTCACCTCTTTAAATTTTCTGCCCCTCTATTTTCTAAGCCCCAGAGCAGATGAACCCTGATCCCCTATGTCCTCAGAGCACAGAGATGCTGGACCTCCTTATGCACCCTGCGCCACAGGGCTCCCCTCTAAGCCACCTACCGCCTAAGCCAGCAGTTCCAAGGGAGGCCCTGGTCTGCCTGGCTTGTGAGCACCTGAAGGGAATGTCAAAACTTACGTGAGAAGGAAATTTCCAAAAAGTACATAAAGTAAGGGTTTCTTAACCCATGGCTGCCAGCCAAGGGTTCTGAGAACTCATGCATGCTTTCTTAATCAATGGGGGGGAAGGGGAAAAGAGGGCTGTCAATGACGCTGAACATTAAAAGGCATTGTCCTCATACCTGAAAACATTGTACACCACTACATAAACCAGAAGAAAAAACATCCTGTCATCAACACTCAAGAAAGTCAGCTTCCAAGTCAGCCTCTTGCTTTCACTGGTTCAAGTCTAAGAGGCAAGGAGGGGCCCCACCCTCTCCTTGGATGGACAGACAACAGCTGGTCTGGTCACATCTTCCGAAACGCTCGGCCACAAATCCCGGGAAGCAGCCTCCTCCATCCTCCAGCCAAGAGCTTGGGTTTCCAACCAGCCTTCCTTTTCCTTCCCCGGAACTAATTTTAGACTCCTTGGTTGTCAGAGGGGAACTGAAATAGTCGGCAGAGGAACGTTTGCAAACAAGAACATGAGCTCACCTCACAAAACACCTCAGCTCCAGCCCAGAAACTGGTCAGAGAGAAGTCCCATTGATTGTACAGCAGGCCAAGCCCCAAGAGAAGGTCCCCCCAGGAGGACCATACATCTGCCCAGTGGGGCAGGATTCCTTTCCAACACCGTCTCAGCAATCACATGTCCATGAATGAAAACACTCAGCTAGGGCTGCCTAAGACACTCTGAACATGTATGTGTACAGCGAGATTGGAAGTACCAGGGCAAAGCACAGAGCAGTCCACAGGCAGGAAGCATGAGTGATTCTGGGCCAGGAGGAGGCATGGCTGGCCCCCAAACAATCCTGGCCTGCGTGACCATCCCAGCCTGCAGTGTCAGTTGGTTTCCAGTACCTATCATTGTCTCACACAGACATCACTCAGAAACAAACAACAAAGACTCAGAAGAAGGCAGCAGCATCTCCTCTCCCCCATCTTCAACACCACCCAGCAACCTGAGCATCCAGGAGCAGCACCACCAGCACCTCAAGGAACAGGGACCTCTTGGGCTGGGCTGGGCTGGGCCTGTGCGTCTGGTGAAGACCAAAAGGAAGCCCCAAACAAGGGGATGGGTGTCTATTCTGGAACAAAGGATGGTGATAGAAGGGGAGGGAAAGGAAAGAAGACAAAGAATTCTGAGAAGGCAACAAAGTTCCCTTTGGAAAGACCCCAAAGAGATGGAAACAGGAAGCCTCAACTCCAGCAAGAAACTCTTTAAAATAAGCACTTCACACAACAGTGATGTGGAGAACTGGGAAACTGAGGATTTCAGGGCAGCTTCCTCCAGCCTAAGAACCCAGTGCAGCAAGCTGTGTCTTGCTGAGTTCAAGATCAGACAAGAGCCCCTCAGAAGGCCGTTCCTAGCAGAGCTGGGTGTCGGTCAGAGGAGGAGTGGAGGACAAACACGGGTGCTGCCAGCCTGCCAGGCCCAACACACAGGCGCCCACAGAGATCACCCCTTCCGTCAGGGCCTGCAGCGCTGGCGCTGGCCGTTCTGCCCACCACACCTCCCCAGGACCCCAGGGAAGCGCGCCCTGCCCTCCAATTCCCTGGGGCCAGGGTAGAGACCGGTGCCCATACCTTTGCGGAGAGGCTGCCCCCCTGCCCTGGCGTCCCCGGGCTCGGGGCTCCAGGCCCACAGCCGCTGCGGCTCCTCGGGGCGCCGCGCGGCCGGCCCGCCCGGGGGAAAGGGCATGCCCGCGTCCTGCTACCACCGCCCGCGCTCCTGCAGGCCGCCGCGGACCGCCCCCACTCCGGCGGCTCCCGGCTCAGCAGACCGGGGCTGCGGGGCGCCGCGGAGGCCCCGGCAACAGGCACTTCCAGACATTCTGCGCGTGCGGGAGGGAGCGGCGCGAGCGCAGACCTCGCGGCGCGGGCGCGGGCAGCAGCGGGCGGGCGGGCTGCCCGGCCCACCCACAACCACCGCCTCCCTGAAACCCGAACCACTGCTGGGAAAACTCAAGGACGCCAGGATTGTACTCCGGGGCCAGCAGCGGGTACTCCCGAAGCACTAATTTCGAACCAAACTCTCACAGGCTGAGCAGGTTTATCAGAGCAGGAATCTCCAGCTTCCCATCCCGAATCGGGTGGGAGGGGAGGGGTGCAGACAGTAGCCATTAACCCCGCCTCTCACAAGCGTCTCTTTAAACCGTGAGAACATTCTAGATCAGAAGTTCTCAACCTGAGGTGATTTTGCACGCCCTCTGCCTACGACATTTTTGGTTGTCACGATTAGAAGAGCTACAAGCATTTAGGTGGGTATGCGCCAGGGATGCTACTAAACATGCTGCAATGCACAAGACAGCTCTCACCACAACCCCACCACTCCACCACACCCACAAACACACCTAACAGAGAATCACTGGGTCCAAATTGTCCACAGTGTCAAGGCTGAGAAAGTCTGTTCTAGAACGAGGTCTACCCAGCCAGGACCTGCCTGAGGGCTGTCTATTCAGCGTCATTCTCAAAAGCAGTACCCAGGCCAGATCCCCCTCAGCCTCTAGATCCCAGACTGTGCTAACAGGCCATTATCTGCAAGTGGATCTAAACTCTGACCTGATGTCCCTTGGTTCCCACTTGCAGTATCCTGAGGTCCCAGGCAGGGGGCTGAATGCACAGGCACTCAGGTGACGGCTTCCTGGAGGAGGAGGGGATCAGGCCTGGAATGTGAACATTGGGCAGGATCACAAACAGCAGAAGTAAAGTAGAAGTCATGTCCAGTGGCTAGAACAGGGTAAGTAGAGGTATCAATGTGGTAACAAGCCCAGTGTACCCGCAAAGGCCAGCAAGGTGCCCCTCAGGACTGGTACAGCAGGTATGTGCAGGGCAGCCAGAACTTCACCGAGTCCAATCCAGGGGGCTACAGGTTCCTGGTATCAGCGCAAAACAGCAAGTGTGCATGCATAATAAATGCATGCACACACACAGTCTCTTATTAGTATTTTCCTGGGGAAAGGATCCACAGCTTTCATCAGACTCTCAGAGGGGCCAGTGATACAAAGGACCATGGTGTAGGATGGGGGCTCTTCACTGGGCTCCCTGTAAAGGAAGTTCCTTGGGTGAAGTGCCAGGGGAGGTCCAGGTACTGTTTGGGGATTCTTGATACCCAGAAAGACCCTGCAGGGTAGTACACCAGAGAGGCCTACCCAAGCTGTGGGAGGCCGTGGGGTTCTGGGTCTTATGTTTTCACCCAGCTGTAGGGCCTGGGAAGCTGGGTGAGTTTCTCACACCATCTACCTTGAAAGAGCCTCCAAGAGCTGAGGAGGGTGTCCACTCCTCCCAAAGGGCAGGCCAGCGCGCCAAAAAGGGAGAGCCTGGAGTGCCCAACAGGTACAAGGACAGGTAGCAGAGGACATCCTTCCCTGGGGAAGAGCATCAATGGCCTGTGGCTCTGTGGCCCGTGTCCTTGTCAGCTACCACCACACTGGGCCTGAGGATCACTTCACTCATCACACACACACTTCTCCTCCAAAGCAATGGACATCTCTGGGTCAGAGAGTAGCCAGCCTATGAGGACAGCTTAGGGCAGTTACGGCCTGAACTTCCTGATGGGACAGAAAGGAGGCAGGTCTTCCTTCTCTGCCCGTGGCTCCTGACATTCCACTCAGAACACCCTTCACTCTGCCCCCAAAGGCCCTGATCCGAACCCCAAGTACAGAGACAGATGTCAGGAGTTCTTGTGGGATACACAGATGTGTGTCTGGGATGTCCATTGCAAAGCAAGAGCCAAATGGCACCATGTACCATTATTACAGCACAAATTCCCCCTTTTCTTCGAGGACTGCACCATCCAATATGGTAGCCACTAGCCAAATGTGACTACTAAGCACCTGAAATGGGGAAAGTGTAAATTGAGATGTTCTGTTAAGTATAAAATACAGACTGGATTTCAATGACAATAAAAAAAAAAAGTAATGTAAAATCTCTCTTTTTTTTAAGATTGGCACTTGAGCTAACATTTGTTGCCAATCTTTTTTTTTTTCTTCTTCTTCCCAAAGCCCCCCCTCCCTGGTACATAGTTGTATATTCTAGTTGTAGGTCCTTCTGGTTCTGCTATGTGGGACGCCACCTCAGCATGGCTTGATGAGCAGTGCCATGTCCGCACCCAGGACCTGAACCAGTGAAACCCTGGGCCGCCAAAGTGGAGCACATGAACTCAACCACTCAGCCACGGGCCCGCCCCTCATTATTTTAATATTTATTTCATATTGAAAAGACTATTTTACATACATCAGGCTAAATAAAATATATCATTAAAGTTAATTTCACCTTGTTAGGGACTAAATGCTTATGTTCCCTCAACATTCATATGCTGAAACCCTAATACCCAGGATGAAGATATTTGCAGTTGAGAAGGCAGCCATCTGCAAGCTGGGAAGAGGGCCTCACCAGAACCCTGCTATGCTGGCACACTGATCTTGGACTTCCAGCCTCCAGAGCTATGAGAAAATAAATTCTACTGTTTGTCACCCAGTCTAAAGTATTTTGTTATAGCAACCCTAGAAAAAACAACTGTTTCTTTTTCCTTTTATTGACACGACTACTAGTAAGCTTTAAGTTATATACATGGTTCACACCATATTTCTTTCGGACAGGGCCATCCTAGATCTTCCTTCTACAAGGGCACCGTGTGCTGCAGGAGGTGGGGGTAATTCTAAATGGCAAGCCAGGAGCTTGAAGGACAGGCACTCACGAAGTCAAAGGAACAGGAGGGCCAGCTCTGCCCCGACCTGGGCCTGGAGCAGCTCTTCCCAAAATTCTCACAGGTCAGGGCAGTGGCCACCAGAAGACCAGCTAGGGTGACCACAAGAAATACCCGGTGACCTCAGGGCAAGAAAGCAGGTCGTGGGACTCCAGTCTAACCCCAGTTGCCCCACCTTGCAGGGTACACTGCTCAGCCCTGCCCAAGCCAGCAGGGGGGAGCAGAGAGAAGAGGAGGGGAAATATAGTCCTTCCAGGCGCCCAATCCAACCCTGCCCTGCCTAATCAGGGAGGGAGGTGAGACTGGCGAGGCCAGACTGAAACAATTAGGGAGAAGATTCCAGGTCCGAGGCTGTCCTGTCCTGGAGTCCCCCTCTGCAGGCCTGGGCTTAGAAGACCCCAGGCACCTCTAGGAGGGATCTAGAGACAGTCAGCTGGGCTGCTGCGTGCCTATCAAATCAGCTTGCTGCCACCACCCCCTAGAGACCAATGCCTTCCTTTCACTTCAGAGCTCTCAATCTTGGGAAAAAGCATCTCAAAGCAGCACTTAAAAGCAGAGAGAGGAAAGACTTCAACACCACCACCACTGCTTCTACCACACAGAAAATGGCTCCAAAAGAGCCACGATGTCCCCTCCTACATCGTTCCCAGGTAACAATAAGAAGGTCTCTGTCCTCTAGACCCTGCACTCAGGCTACGCAGCTCCAATCCCCACACCGAGAACTACCTTGCTTTCTGTGTGGACAGCTGAGCGACGCCACATTGCAAACGACGCGGTTAGAGTAGGGGTAAGGATGGGCTGGAGATCCCGGATCCCCACCCCCGCCGCCGCGCGGGGATCCCAGCCCCGCCCCTGCACGCCCAGCCCCGCCCTTCGCGGGTTTCCCAGACTCCGCGCTGCTGCCACCGCGGGCGGCGGGGAACCCGCGCTGCATGTGTAATAGGGGCTGGGAACAAAGACGCGCAGGACTCCGCTCCCAGGCTGCCGCACACCCGCCGCCCCGACTGCCCCGGGCTTCTCCCTGGAGCTTCAACGCGCAGCTCCGCACGCTTCCCAGGGCTGCCCGGAGCCATCTAAACCGGAGCGCATAGCCCGCCCCTGCGCGCACACCTGCGCGGGGCGCGCCCCAGCACCGCTAGAAGAGGAAAATCAGTGCTTCGGCCTTGGGGGAAAAGCGCTTTTCCGGCGAAACTCCGCGTGCATACAGCTGCACCCACACACCCTCAACCACACACACACGAGCCAAACCCTAGCCCCGCGGGGTCAGCCACCCCCGCCACGTGCTTCCCAGAGGCCAGAAACATGTTGGCTTTTCTTCTCGCCCCACCTCCCTTCCCAGGCGCCCAAAACAAAGCGGTCCTGCGGGGCGGCCGCACCTCGTGTCCTGGGGCCCGCCGCAGGGAGAGCGGGCGCAGTTGGAAGCTGGTGCCAACGGCCCGCCTTTTGGGGAACACGACGCAGACGTCGGTGGGATGGGGTGCAAAGGACTCCGCCGGGCTCGGTGAAGCAGCCCCCTTCGCTTCGCAACACCTAGTGGCTCTGAGGGTCGCGCAGTTCTGCCCCCAGCCGCTGCTGAACCTACAATCCCGCCAACCTTGGATTAGATCTGCCCGCCCCGCTTGGCCACTTTGCCCACTTGGGTTTTCCTCTCTCTCTCTAGGCTCCACGCGCTCGCGTAGCCTGAACCCCGACCCCGGGGCTCCAGGTCCCGCCCCCATCGTGGGGTCGCCCCCGCAAACCCAAGCCCCGCAGGTCGCCGCACAGACAGGATCGTCCTCCCAAGATCCCCGAGCGGGGCGCCCAGTCCCCGCCCCGGGAGGTGTAAGCTGGGTGCAGGTGGCGCGGCGAGGAGGCCGCGGGGCCGCCCTTTGTTGGTAAACACCGCGCGGCGCCCGAGGCCGGCCCCGCGCGCCCTCCCCGCGTCCCCCACGCCGCGCCCCGTCCTTACCCGCGCACAGCGATCCCCAGAGGAGGGCGAGGGCCGCCCAGGGCGCCGTCATGTTCCGCGGCGCCGCCCCGCGGACACCCGGAGCCCGCGGACAGGGCCGCGCGGCGCTCCAGGGGCGCGCAGGGCCCGGCGGCGGCTGCGCTGTCCTTCCCGCTCCTTCCTTAGGTCTCTTCCCCACGCGCTTCCTGCGCCTTCGTCCCCGGGCAGCGTGCAGGCTCCAAGGGCCGGGCGGCGGGGCCGGGCTCAGGGCTGCTGCGGGCGGCGCAGGCTGCGGCCCGGGCTCCGGGGCGACGCAGGGGCCGGGGGGCGGCGGCGGGGCGCGGGCCGGGGCGCGCCCGACTTGGGCATAGCGCGGCGGGGCTGGGCCCGGGCCCCGGGCGCAGGGGCCGAGTCCGGAGGGGCCATGAACGGGGGGAGGGGTGGGGGGAGGGGATCTGAACCGAGTCCAAAATGGCTCCTGAGCCGCGGCCGCGGAGCCGAGCCAGCGGGGAAACCCGGATGTTGGATACAAAGAGGCGGGCGAGCGGGGCGGGGAGGGGGAGGGGGAGGGGAGGCGGGCCCTCCAGCCGCGTGGTCCGCGCCCCCCTCAGGGGCGGGGCCCCAGAGAAACAACAACAAGGAGGCCCCGCCCCCAGCGCGCGCCCTCTGGGAGGAGGCGTGCAAACCGCGGAGCTGCGGGGAGGGGTGGGCACGGGGTACCGCTTTGCCCCGGGACTCCGTGGCCGCCGCACTTGAGATTCTTGCTCGGCGCGCTGGAGCCCACGCTCCCGAACTCGTGCTGCCCTGCAACCCCGGAGTGGGTGGACAGCCCCCAGATTCTGGCCTGGATTCCTTTCTGCGCCTCCGTTAACCCACCTGTGAAATAAGGGCCACAATGAACCATAGGAGAGTCGTGTCTTTATTGATGAACGAACGAATCAGCAGAAAAAGGCTGACTTCTCTGAAATGACAAGTGGTCCCCGACGTCTGCAACCCCGCCCCCCACACACAAAGGGACAGCTGAGGATGCTGTAGTTGGAACCATCCGAGGGAGAGAGCGCGGAGCCCCGTCCAGCAGAGCAGCAGCAGGTGAAAAAGGGCCTCTGACAACTTGCTTCGCCATCCTTACCCCAAGTGGTCGTCAGAATTCCCACCCACCCCCCACTTCAATCTGCACCTCCAATTGTTCTCAATTGTCTCCAGTCCCCACAGTGGAAGATCTTGTCTAGCGAGTGGCCCGGCTTCCCTCCTCATCACCAGCTTCCTCTTTGGGGGCCCGTTGTTCTCCAGAGCTTGAGAGGGTCATGATGGGGCTCCCAGCTAAAAACAGAAAGCCCATCACAGTTCAGGGATGAGGTGCGGGATCCTTAGATACAGAAATTGTCTTCAGGCTTCTCCTGGCTTGCCACATCCTTTCTTGGAGTAGGGCAGGAGCAGGGCACAAGCAGCCGGGGGAAGTGGCGCCTAGAAATCTGAGTTATTTCACTTCTCTGAGCCTCAGTTTCCTCACACAGAAAGCGAAGACATTAGACTCCTGTGCTTTGCAGTTTTTAAATGGCAGAAATCTTCTTCAAACAAAAGCTATGTAAAAGTCCACCAAATAGAATGTATATTGCCTTGACTGAAGTTGAAATGAGTGTTCACCACCCCCAGTTTCCAAAGCACCAGAAACACCTCAGGGACCACACTTTGGAGTCACTACCCAGAAAGATTTCTGGGTCTCTAAAGGTCCTTTCTAGTTTAGGGACCAGCCCCATGGCCGAGTGGTTAAGTTCGTGGGCTCCGCTTGGGCAGCCCGGGGTTCATCAGTTTGGAATCTGGGCGCGGACATGGCACTGCTCATCAGGCCATGCTGGGCCTATGTCCCACAGAGCTGAACTAGAAGGACCTACAACTAGAATACACAACTATATACTGGGGGGCTTTGGGGAGAAGAAAAAAAAAGAGAAGATTGGAGAGAGATGTTAGGCCAGGTGCCAATCTTTAAAAAAAAAAAAAGAAAAGGACAGCCCCACCTTGCCACAACCCCTACAGGTGACCCATTCATTATATAGGCCTCCTAACACAGGATTGAATGCTACTGTGTGCGGAGCAAGAAGCACTGTAGTATGGGACACCTTGGCTGTGTATAAGATATTTGATAATCCCACAGGAGGCTATACTGATAGACACACAATGGCAGGGAAAGCAGCTCCATATCCAGACTGTATCTTTTCTATGGAAGATAAATCACTGCCTCCTCCCTACTGAAAGGTATCAACTATAATCCATGTGCCAACAATTAGATT